ATGGTGTGGTGGAGCTTGGCGTGAAGGAATGTGACGAGAGCCATGACTAACCATGCGGATGTTCTCTTTTGGTTGGTGCATCTTCACCGATCATCTCATCCCTGGCGTGGAGTCAAACATATAATACAATAACCAATTGAGATACATCATAAAGACTTGAAATTTTCGGCTATAATTAAGTGTCGCTAGTTAGACAAGCCATTATTTATCAAATTTTCATCTACCCGATTAGAAAGACAATTAATCTAAATAAAAATACAATATTCATTTTTATATCACTAACATTACTTTTTTTAGTACTTTATACTTGCAACTTCTTTACTAGTGTTTCTAATCGTCACACATTACCCTAATTTTACAAGGCCAACTAAGAAGCTAAGTATATGCTGTTTGTTGATAAATTGGCATTAAATTTGGGTCCTTGTTGTATACGTTGTAATATCATAGTAATGCATACACTATTATAAATAATAATAATAATAATAATAATAATTTTGAGACATTTATAAATCATGGAGTATCAATTTATGCTTTGATAACTGTGTTAACTAAAGATAAATTGGATTTGTATGGGGATGTATAAACAAGAACTTTAACAAAACAATATTTTAGGTGCAATCGTACTCATATGAAAACATATATCCGCAAAGAGGTGCAAATATCGACAGCTTTGGATTGAACCTCGAGTGTCCATACTCCTAGTGGCGGAGGCAATACAGGGCAGACGGGTGCTCTGCCCCCCCTAATCCCCATCTAATTACTTTACCTAAACGCTTGAAGCCCACTAAAATTTGATTGGTTGGTTTCTATTTAGCCCACTGTCCTTGTTATCTCGTTTAATTGTGGTCAATTCCAATTAAAGTTCACCGCTAATTTACATGCATGATTACACCTTGAATCCTTAATTAGTTATGTGATTATATCGCTGATTTGGTCAATGATTCTAAACCCCACTCATAATAAATATTAAAGAACTTGCATTTGATATGCTCTCAAAAGTCCAAATGCTAGTGTAAACGAGCGGCAAAAATTGTCATGACAATCAATTTGAAGGAAAATTAAAATCATGTCATCGCTATTAATTATGGGAAGTTATCTCAAGAGTAAGAGTTAATTTACACTGCGTTGTCGTTGTCTCTTCCTCCTCCTTTCCTCACGGTGTCGCCACCCCGGAACTCAAATCCCCTAGTAAGAAATCGTCTCAAAATCTCCATTTTATTATTTGTTTTATCTTTCTGTTCCGCTTTTACTTTGATGATGAGGTATATTGTATATAGCTTCTTTACTCAACGTCAATCCACAAACGGTTTTTCCTTACATATAAGTTTTATTTATTAATTTTCAGTTTTCAATGTCTAGACATAGTGTTTTGATGGCTTTGTTGTATATTAGTTGAGTTATTTTTGAATATTATCAATTTCTAAGTTCCAATAGATTATTTCTAGATTAACTGATTTGTTGTTTAGCTTTTTATTAGTTTGTCGTTTTAATTTTTTAAAGCCACAAACTATTATTAATTGGTTATGGTTTGTTGAATGAGAGATCCAAACATGAGTTTTTTTTAATAACTATTGGTTGTTTAGTGGCTTATTTATTGTCTTTCGGATAAATAAATGAATAAATATGTGTGAACTTTTTCTACCAATTTTCTATTTTCATATATATAGATGATTGAGAATCGAATAAGAAATGTTAAGTGTTATTTGTGTTTCATTCTAATTGTTTTAATAATAAACAAGAAGGAATCAAAAAGCTTATAAATGCATTTCAATATTTTAATATGAGGTAAGCCCCCATTATTCAAGAATCCTGGCTCCGCCCTGCATACTCCATAGCAACCTATCAACGTGTCACCCTGACCCAACCTTTTTCTAACATAAACTTAAAGAAAAACACATTTCCCGATTGTTTTGCCACCTTTAACAATATTCAAACATATTAGTTACATAATATATCGAATCAAATGTTATTATTATTTTTTTAGATAGAAAACATAACAACTTTATAATAAACTTACCAACTATAACTACTATTTCAATTTTGTCCTCTACTAAACCAATTCACTCTGTCATAACATGAATGTGCATCCAACCTTTCAATTTCAGAAAAAGAAAAACGTAAGACAAAACTTCAAAAATGGTCATTGTGGTTTCCGAAAATCTGAAGTTTAGTCCCTAATCTTTAAAAACCTCATAGATGGTCTTTGTGGTTTCAAAACTTTTAACAGATGGTCCTTTTTGCTAACTCCGTTAGCTTTTAGCCGTTAAGTGAAGGACATTTCTGTCATTTTACAATCACAGGGACCATTTATGAAGTTTTGCCTTATTTTAAAAAGAAAAAAGAAAAAAATATAATTATTTAATATTAAATGGTATCTCTCTCTCTCTCTCTCTCTCTCTCTCCATTTCACAAACCCCCTTCCATTTCCTGATGAAGTTCCAACATGAAAGCTTCGACATAAATTACCCAAAATCCCACATTTCATGTCCAAGAGTTCTGATGGGTGTATGAAACTCTTAGGTCCGACGAGAAAGGTGTTTGAAACCGTTATGTATGACGAGAAAGGCAACGACTTCAGTGTTTGGGAGGGTTTTGTGGTGATTTTGAATCTGTCAAGATTCAACCACCGTCGATCTCTCAAGAGTCAAACCTGGTAAACCCTAATGCAATATCAAATCAATTTTGAATCTGAAATCGATTTTAAGGGTGAAATCGAACCATGAATATCTTTTGTTTATATCAGATGGCTTGATTAATAGGGGTGTGTGTGCGATTTCGATTGCAGATTTCAAGGATCCTCTTCTTCTCATTCGTTTCAAAAATCTTGTGAGTTTGTGTTTTAGAGGTTTTCAAATTCATCCGTTTCAGAAGAATTCAACCACCTGAGAAACGTCATGCTCTCTTTGTTTCGGAAGGATCCTCTGACTAGAATGATTCCAGAACTACATTTGGCCAGGTCGGTGGGGTTGTGTAGGTCTAATGATACGCCGATCCTTGTAGCATCTTTTCCGATGAAGTTGATGTGATAAAAGGAAATGTGTGTGTATGTGTGTTTGAAGGAGACGAAGAAGAAAAAGAGGAGAAATGCTTGTGGACTCTCGAATGAGATTGAAGGGATCGAGAGATATGCTCATTTTGTAAACGAATTGTGTGATTCTTTACAGTTTCCATTGGCAGAAGAATTGGAATGAGAGAGAGAGAGAGAGAGAGAGAGAGAGAGAGAGAGAGAGAGAGAGAGAGAGAGAGAGAGAGAGAGAGAGACCATTTAATATTAAATAATTATATTTTTTTATTTAAAAAAAAAAAGACAAAACTTCAAAAATGGTCCCTGTGGTTTTCGAAAATATCAAGTTTAGTCCCTAAGTTCAAAAAACCTCACAGATGGTCCCTGTAGTTTCAAAACTTTTAACAAATGGTCCTTTTCGCTAACTCAGTTAGCTTTTAGCCGTTAAGTGAAGGGCATTTCTGTCATTTCACAATCACAGGGACCATTTATGAAGTTTTGCCTCTTTTTTTTAAAAAAAAAAGAAAAAAATATAATTATTTAATATTAAATGCTCTCTCTCTCTCTATCTCTATCTCTCTCTCCAGTTACCAACGACCATCAAGAACCCAATCACACACTCTCTCTCACTAAACTTTGAAGGAATCCGTTCACTGGAAAATCCGATGCAGTGTCTCAAGATTCTGAATGTGGGCAAAGATGTTCTCTCAAGCAATTCGTCGAACACCTTCAATGCACGACTTATATTCCCCACTTTCCAACCGATTTATTAAACTATCAATATCGAGAGAATGCAAATTCAACCTTCCCCTCATACATCCAGTTCAACAAATAAAAAGATCATGCATAAGGGGGGAAATACAAAATTGAAGAAATGGAGTCAAATAAGAGAAAGAGCCCCTCCCAGATTCGTAAAAAACTTCCCCTCCCAAATTACGAATCCTAAATCGACATTTAGAAATTAAGTCACTGCACATGGTGATGCTGATACTTAGATTGGAGTAGAGAAGGTTGGAGCAGCTCTTGCGTGCATCACCAACAATAGAGGGTATTAGGTCGTGTTCGGTGGTGTTCAATGGTCACAACAACAACAACAGAGGTGGTGATTGATTATCAGAACAGGAGGGGGAAAGAGAGGTTGAGATGGCGGAGGTAGTGCTTTGTCGCGTCGGCAGTCACCTTCGACTAGAGAAGTCTCTGACGAGACTGTTTTGGTCACCGGTAGGTTACATCAGTGATTAGTGGGGTGTTTGGGGGTTGAGCTTCGACGAGAAGGGATCCGTTGGAGGTTGGGATGGAGGCAACGACCTCTTCCCTCTCATCTTCGCGTTTTCTGGCGAACGGAGGACCACCTACCTCGAGTGGGTGAGTCTTGGCAGTCTAATGAAGAAGAAATGGGGACAACAATAGCAAGTATTGGGGGTGTTTGTGCGGTGCTAGACGAATAAGAAAACGGAAGAGAGAGAGATAGAGAAAGAGAGAGAGAGAGAGAGTGGGATCCTTTAATATTAAATAATTATATATATATATATATATATATATATATATATACTTTAAAAGGCAAAACTTCATAAATGGTCCCTGTGATTGTGAAATGACAGAAATGCCCTTCACTTAACGGCTAAAAGCTAACGGAGTTAGCGAAAAGGACCATTTGTTAAAAGTTTTGAAACCATAGGGACCATCTGTGAGGTTTTTTGAACTTAGGGACTAAACTTGATATTTTCGAAAACAACAGGGACCATTTTTGAAGTTTTGTAAAAAAAAAATAAGGCAAAACTTCATAAATGGTCCCTGTGATTGTGAAATGACAGAAACGCCCTTCACTTAACGGCCAAAAGCTAACGGTGTTAGCGAAAAGGACCATCTGTTAAAAGTTTTGAAACCACAAGGACCATCTGTGAGGTTTTTAAAGATTAGGGACTAAACTTCAGATTTTCGTCGGAAACCACAGGGACCATTTTTGAAGTTTTTTGAGTCAAAAGATTACCATACCTTGACCAAATAAAGTAGAACCAATCATTTTTGTGACAACTTCAAAAGATTTGTATAAATCCAAAATATAAATGGGTTCATGGATTTACAAAATTTACTAATGAATATTGATGTATTTATTTGTACTTCTCCATGATTCTCCTTGCTTCTTCAAGGCTTTCTTCTGTTGAAGTGGTGGTGGTGCTTCCGCCGCCACCTGTGGGGCCCTCATCTTTGTTCAACGCGATAAACACAAAGTAAATCAATCCCATTGTCGTCTGTTTCATGTATAAATATCACAAGTCACAACAAGATTAACATAATGATAAGTTAAATCTAGTAATTAAGAAAATTAAGCATATGGTATTTAATTATGGGTGGAAATATACCAGAAAAAAGAAAGCTGTGGACAAGAATGACTTGAGCAGAAAGAGTACAACAGCTGCTCCAATTACACCCACAGATATCCTAGCAATTGGTCTTGGTATAGAATCCTATAAAAATGATAGTATGTTGTATAATTTAATGCAAAATATGGAAATTAAAGAAGTACATGACTTCTGTTTATTTCGATATTAAAAGATATACAAAGTAGAAAGAAGACAACTTACAGGCACTAAATTTGTTCCTGCTTCAATTCCATCTTTTCCTACCTTATATGCTTTTTGAAGCACTTAATCACCAACATATCAAACATAAAAGTTAGCACAAAATCATATTTAATAACTTTTATCGACTAATTAAAAAAATATGTATATTTCAATATAAAGTCTGCATGAAATTATTGTACTATAAAAGACGTCTATTACACAACGTGCAAATAACATCTTTGCTAATAAAAATATGTACAATGAATTCTTAACATCTTATTTCACTTCCATAATTCAATTTTTTTCGGTAATGAGTAAATTAGTTTCCTGAATTCCTATAATGCATCAAAATATATTGACATGTAGTATCCAATCTGGACTCCTAAATCAAAACGAGCATGAGTGTTCTGACTATAACAAATCCTACTATAGACATAATTCTGCAAAGTTCAAAATTATGGTATAAACTGGGTTTACAAACATGATGCATTAGCAACTAACATATGAGTACCTAATTTGGAAATTGCTCACTGCTCAGAGGACATAATCTGTAACTTATGCCCCCGATAAAATTCATTTGGTTATAAAGTGCAATAATGGAGCATAAAACACTCATTTTTCAGTCCCTTAGTTTTACAATCAAGTCCAATTCCCCAAATATATCCATAGTGTGATCAACTGAAAATTACAATTTAAATTCCAGTGCTATGAATATGTGCAAAAACTTATAGGTACTTAGTTAATCTAATCGTTTCACTGTGACTTCAATGATGGAAAATGTTTGGGTATGTATAATGTATCACTCAAATGTCCAAGAAATCCAGTTTTATTGGCGCCAAGTTGATGGAGATTGTTTGGCTATCACTAAAAATGCCAAATATACCTTTCAATTTTAAGGTTTCTGTACAATCATCAATTCATAACACTGCAAGTAATTTGGTTTCAAACTTTCGAAAATGATGCATCTTTCAAACGACATCCAAAAAGCCAACAGTAGAAGAGAGGGCAATATGTTTTAGGCAAAATTCTTTCTAACTGATAAGATATGGAAGAGTGGAAATCTCAATCGCTATTACAAATCGCCCATACATACCAGCAATCGAAATGAAAGATACCAAACGATTTCATAATTTCATATGTACAATCAGAAAACAAACAAATTACGTTCTACCAGACCAGGGTTCGAAACTGAATTTACGAAATACCTCTGAAAAAAATTTGATTGTGCTGCGTAGATTCGAGACCTGAGCTTTCTATTTTGAACAACTGGAATCATAGACCACTTCTTCGACTTCAAAAGCGATTGGCATGGTAACTGAGAGCTGAAAGCTAGGGTTTTAGATTTGTAACTGTATGATCCTGATGAATAGTATACTGGGGTGCATAGAGTATGAAAATTAAACGTAGAAGCCATGAAAATTTGTGAAGTAATTTATGAATGTTCGATAGTCGATACTCTTATCAGAATCACATATTAGTGTGAATGCGCGTGTCTTGGCGGAAGAGATTATAGTTGCGGACTTGCGGGAGGAAGATGGCTAGAAGAGTGGGCTTAATTTTGGGGCTTAAAGTTCATGACACTTTTACTTCGGCCTAATAAATATGGCCAATGCGCCATATATATTTCCTAGAGTGTTGTAGACAAAAAAGCCCAAATATAATGATGATATGACGTATGAACAGTAAAATTGGTGGTTTTTTTTTTGTTATTTTTACAGAATTGGTCCAGTTCTTTATTGAAATTGCAATTTGATCCTTGCTCTGTTCCTATTGGTTGAATTTTTTGATTTTTTGATTTTTGTTTTTCAAAATCTATCATCAGTTGCTAAGTGTTGTGTTCCTATCTATTCTGCTTCTTATTCTTCCAGGTTTCCTTCACCGATTTTGTCAACACCGCCTCGATAAGGGCTCCATCGATGTCCTGTTGCTTCAAAGCTTTTCCCAACTTCCAGTCGACATTCACATATCGCAGTTCTCTTTCTCGTTGGTTACTATCAAAATTGACGATTGGGGAATAACATCAGATAATGGTTTCTACTTGATTTATGTTGACGATGTCGGTTACCTTAAAGATCTTTCAGTGATTTTCTGGCAGGGAGGTCGGCAACCTCAAAGATCTTCCGGTCAAGTCGTCGCTATCGTCGACTTCAACTTCTACGGTATGATCTATTCCTGATATTTTTGAAGAATTGAAGTGATGATCTATTTCGCAACTCAATACAAAGGGGGATAGAGGAATACATAGAGTCGGACATAGTAAATAAAAATTAAAAAAAAATGATAAAAAAAACATTCCTCCTATAATAGTTGTTAATACGAATAAGAGAAACTTTGTTATAGTTATTTCTGTACATTCAATGTACTCTGCGAATAGAGGAATACATAAAGTTAAACATAGTAAAATAAGAAATTGAAAGATTTCGTTGAAATTGTTCATTTGGAAATTTCCCGAAAAAATAATCATAGGTTCCTCTTTCCATCGGAACGATATGGACGCTATGTTCGTTACTAAACTTGTAGAAGAGATGAAATATAACAAATATATAACTTTTTGATCATAGGTTGAATCGAATATCATTTAATTGGGGTCAAAGACCAATCACTATAAAAATTAAAATTACAATGACCTTTCATAAAACCGAAATAATTGAAGAAGTAAACTTGATTTTCCTAAAAAGCATGCAGACCATTTACGAAGATTACTGTTTCCGTAATAAAACCCTACAAAACAGGCGTTCATTGTTGTATGATTTTCAAAAGGGGTAATTACTAATCTAGACAAATTAAGGAAGTGATCAACAATTTTTAGCCAAAAATTAGTAAATGTCCAAATATAGCCCACGAAACTGTAGGTTTCTATATTCGTCTACTGTTTCGCCAATTCGTCTACTGTTTCGTGTTTTGTATAATTTTTTTTTTCATTTCTAAGAAACAAAACCGTAGGTTTTTTAAAACCTACGGTTTCCTCTCGGTTTAGCTACGGTTTTCCAAACCGTAGCCTACGGTTTTGGGAAAAAAAATTCGTTTTTTTTTTTTTTTTAAAGTCTTCTGTTTTGGGGTTTAATTTACTGTTTTGTCAAAAAAGCTACGGTTTTGGGGTTTAATCTACTGTTTTGTCAAAAAAAAAATTCGTACGGTTCATACGAAACCGTAGGTGTACAAGTCGACACTGCACCATCTGTGCATTGGACACTTGTACACCGTAGGTTTCGTATGAAACCTACGGTTTTATATATATATTTTTTTTGATTTTTTTCAAAAAAAACTTAATCCCATATACAAAACATACTCCTAAACACAAACACCGTAAAATTTTAATGAAAAGTAGACAAACCTGGTTGTTCTTCGGGTGTTCCATTGAGAGAAAAAAGTAGTCAAACCAACAAAAAAATAGAAAAAAAATGACCTAATCTGAAAATTTTTTACATTATATACTTTGGCTAATGAGCCACGAAAAAGTAAACGAGTCCGTGAAACAGTAGCCCATTAGGGAAAAAGAGTAGTCTTAGGGGAAAAGAGTAGTTAACTGCGGAAAAAAGTAGTCAACTGTAGGTTGACTACTCTTGGGCTAGTTTTGGATAAGTGGTTTTTTTATAAGGATTTTGGGTAGATTTGAATTTTCCCATTTTCAAAAATTTGGCCAAGAGTTTTTTGCTCGTATACATAATTTGTTATTATTATTATTTTTTTTAAAATTACCATGAAGGACAATGGGTCATGTTAAGGCAGAAGGAATCTATAATAACTGGATCGCATGTTAAGGCAGAAGGAATCTATAATAACTGGATCGTCCTTTTCAATTCAAAAGTGGCGCAAGTCTCGACACCCAAACACACACAAGCGTTGAACTTTTAGGCTAAACCACTACACTCATCACTCATTATATAAATAGCCATTGAAGAAAACCAAGCAAAACCCACTATCCTCGCACATGATTTCATCGTAGTCATCGTTCCCAATGCTGTTAATGGAGGTCAATCTGTTGTACATTGTGCTACTTTCGTTTGTTCTTTGATACTCACCTCTTTGAATGCCCAAAAACAAAAGGAAAAAGAAAATAACACAAATCAAGAAATTTGCAGAACCCCGAGGTAGAAGATGATAATGGAGGTGAATGTGAATGTGAAGTGGTTGTTAATTGTTAATTACTGTTCCCAATTTCTCTGTCTTTCCTTTTCTTGCTTTCCTTCAAAGCAATTTTTGTCTAATTAACGAATACCAGTTTTAGAGAGAGTGAAACACATCGATGCAACAAAACCTAGAAGTTTAATCTGGGAATCGAGCCCCCACAAATTTGCAAATGCCGATGTTAAGGCACAACCACTATCTCTTCTTGCTTCTATCAATTGTTGTTTTTGTTGTTGATGCTTCAAACGATGAAGCTGTTGTTTTGCTTTCATGGCTTCACTCGTCCTCACCTACTTCACCACACTCTTCATTTTCAAACTGGAACCCATCCGATCAAAATCCTTGTAATTGGTCTTACATCACATGTTCTCCACAAAAATATGTTACCAAGATCGATATCCAGTCTATCGAATTAGCCCTTCCTTTTCCTTCTAATCTCTCATCGTTTAAATCTCTCGACACTCTCATCATTTCCGGTGCTAACTTAACTGGAAAGATCCCAGATGATATCGGAGAATGTAGTGCGCTTCAAGTGTTTGATGTAAGTTCCAATACTCTCGTGGGGAGTATTCCGACATCAATCAGTAAGCTTGTGAATGTTCAAGATTTAATATTGAACTCCAATCAACTCTCCGGAATCATCCCACCACAGATTGGTAATTGTACAAGGTTGAAGAATCTTGTCTTGTTCGATAATTATTTAACTGGGGAGCTTCCTGTTGAGCTTGGAAATCTTTCAATGTTGGAAGTTATTAGGGCTGGAGGGAACAAAGACATATCTGGAAAGATCCTTTACGAGTTGGGAAACTGTCGAAATCTAAAAGTTTTGGGTCTTGCTGTCACTAAAATATCCGGGTCGATTCCTAGTTCTTTGGGTAGTCTAAGCAAGCTTCAAACTTTATCAGTTTACACAACACAACTTTCAGGTGAAATCCCGAAGGAACTCGGCAACTGTTCTAACCTCATCGATCTATATCTATATGAAAATGATCTCACTGGTTCACTTCCATCTGAATTGGGGAATCTTCACAACTTAGAGAAGCTTATGTTATGGCAAAACAATCTTGTCGGATCAATACCTCCAGAAATTGGAAACTGTAAGAGTTTAAAAACCATCGATCTCTCTTTAAACTTTTTCTCCGGTGTCATTCCTTGGTCATTTGGCAATCTCATCGATCTTGAAGAACTGATGCTGAGTAACAACAGTCTCTCAGGCTCCATCCCACCTGTTCTTTCAAATTGTACAAATCTAATACAATTGCAGCTCGATAGAAATGCGTTTTCAGGATCGATTCCGATGGAGCTCGGGATGTTACCTGAGTTATCTGTCTTCTTTGCTTGGCAGAATAAACTTGAAGGGGACATTCCATCGACAATGGCAGGTTTGAAGAGTCTCCAGTCTCTTGATTTGTCTCATAACTTTCTTACTGGTAGCTTACCATCTGGTCTTTTTGAACTAAAAAACCTAACGAAGCTTCTCTTGATTTCAAATAGCATCTCGGGTTCCATCCCTTCTTCTATAGGGAATTGCAGCTCACTCATTAGACTTAGGCTAGTAAATAACAAAATTACTGGACCTATTCCTAAAGAGATTGGGTTTCTTGAAGATCTTGATTTTCTCGACATATCTGAAAACTATCTCACAGGAGTAATCCCAGATGAAATCGGAAATTGTACACATCTTCAAATGGTGAACCTAAACAATAACACCCTTTCTGGTACTTTACCTAGCTCGCTATCTTCTTTAATGAACCTTCAATCTTTAGACGTTTCAAGCAATCAGTTTATCGGTCAAATTCCCGAGAGTTTTGGTCAACTTGCTTTCATTAACAGACTTGCGATTGGTAAGAACTCGTTATCTGGATCGATTCCTACAACACTTGGCTTATGTTCAAATCTTCAGTTTCTTGATCTTAGTGGCAATAAACTCTCGGGTAACATTCCGGTTGAGCTTTTCAGTTTAGTTTCATTAGATATCGCATTGAATCTAAGTTGGAATTTATTAAACGGAACAATCCCAGTTGAAATATCTTCATTAAATAAACTCTCAGCACTAGACCTTTCACATAACATGTTCACTGGAGATTTAATGGCGCTTTCCAGCCTTGTGAATCTTGTTTCCTTGAATGTCTCTTACAACAATTTCACCGGTTTTCTACCTGACAGCAAGCTTTTCCGGCAGTTATCCGTCCAAGAATTGGCCGGAAACAAAGGGTTGTGTCCATTGGGACGGAATTCCTGTTTCCTCGGTCAAACCGGAACCGGAATCGCTACTAGACGCAGTATCCGCCAGTCAAAGAAACTGAAAGTCGCTATAGCTTTGTTAGCTGTTGCAGCAGTGGCATTGGTGATTCTAGGGGTAATAGCGGTTTACCGAGTCCCAAAAGTTAAGTCGCAAGATAACGATTCCGAAACCGGTAATTGGAGTTCATCAAATTGGAAATTCACACCGTTTCAGAAGCTTAGTTTTACAGTGGATCAAATATTAAGATGTCTGGTTGAAACTAATGTGATCGGAAAGGGGTGTTCCGGTGTAGTCTATCGAGCAAGTCTTGACCATGGTGAAGTGATTGCAGTCAAGAAGCTCTGGCCCACAACAATGGCAGCAGCATACTGTGAAAACGACCGGACACCCTCGACTGGAATCCGCGATTCCTTTTCAACCGAGGTCAAAACCCTTGGTTTGATCCGTCACAAGAACATCGTCCGATTCCTGGGTTGTTGCTGGAATCGGAATACAAGGCTGCTGATGTATGATTACATGCCTAACGGGAGTTTGGGAAGTGTTCTACACGGGAATAGCGGATGCTGCTTGGAATGGAATCTAAGGTATCAGATAATATTGGGTTCGGCTCAAGGATTGGCTTATTTACACCATGATTGTGTGCCTCCGATTGTTCATAGGGACATTAAGGCCAATAATATTCTCATTGGGCTTGATTTTGAAGCTTATATAGCTGATTTTGGGCTTGCAAAACTTGTTGATGATAGAGATTTTGCTAGATCTTCAAGCACTGTTGCTGGTTCTTTTGGTTACATCGCGCCAGGTTAGTTCCACTTCCACCAATATTAATTACAAAATTGCCATCTGTAACGGAGATTATTAATTTATTAAAATGCAGAGATTGGGTACATGATGAAAGTAACAGAAAAGAGCGATGTATACAGCTTTGGTGTAGTGATGCTAGAAATATTAACGGGTAAACAACCGATTGACCCAACCATAGAAGACGGGCTCCACATTGTGGACTGGGTCAGACAAAAGCGAGGCGGTGTACAAGTTTTGGACAGGAGCCTGCGGGCCCGGCCCGACCCTGAGCTGGAGGAGATGATGCAAAGTTTAGGAGTGGCTTTACTTTGTGTTGCCCCTTCACCTGATGATAGGCCTTCCATGAAAGATGTGGAAGCAATGCTGAAGGAGATAAGACATGATAGAGAGGAAGGTTCAAAACCAGAGTCTATAATGATGCTCAAAGGTTCCTCTGCAACTGGAAGTGTTGATGGGGAAGAAAAGGAAAAGTGTAAGGAAAATGAAGGCCCATCAACCGATGCAATGAAGTGCTTGTACATTGAAAGTAACAACTCCAGCTTCTCTGCTTCGTCCTTGTTGTACTCTTCTTCTTCCAATGCCGGAAAAAATGGAGTTTAGTAGATGGTTGGTTTAGGGATTGATTGTAGAGTCAACAGTGTTTGTTTTTCCATGTTTTTGGAGGAAAAAGAAGAAGAAATAATTGGAGTTTGTTTGTGGTTGATGTTTTGGAGTTTTTCTAGTTTTATATTTATTTTTTGAAAATCTAATTGAGAATAAATGACTTTGAATGTCGAATGGTCTTGATGAGAAATCAAATATCCTCTAAGCTTTTGTTCTTAGTTCCTACCTATGTTCTTATTCAAGACAAATCTCAAAATCAAGAGAAAGAAATCAAATATCCTCTAACCTTTTGTTCTTAGTTTCTATCTATTTTCTTATTTGAGACAAATGTCAAAATACAAAAACTTCAAACCTACGACCTTAACATAATTCAAATTGTAATGTAAGGACGGAATTTATAATTTACTCCATTTTTATGTTAATCGGCTGAAAATATAGGGATTTCCCTCCGATAACACACCATTTTAGAACATGAATTTCAGTTAATTAGGATTTATTTTCGAATTTTGGCGAAGCCTACTCTAAACTAAAACTGTTATTTATATAGATCTTGATCATTATGTAACTTTGAAAATTGTTTTGCAATTATTATTATTTTTTTCTTTGTAAAGCATAAAAATCAAACACTTATCTAGTTCCATTTTAATTACGTCACATTTTTTATAGGGTTATTATTTATCAAAGAAGCAAAGATGAGGAGAGAAGATGGTGACGATAGAGATCATCGTTTCTATGTGGAAATTGTCTTCCTTTTTGATTTTGGGCTTCAATGACGTTTTGTGTTTACAAATTTCACTCTATATTTAGAAAATTGATCGTATTATATATATATATATATATATATATATATATATATATATATATTATATTATATATATATAATATATATATATAAGATTGAGATCGGTTGAGAACTCATATTTTCCCGAGAACCCGAGAACTAAAAGTGGAGCGTTGGATCAAAATTAATTCATTAAGGACATGATCGTCATCTTACCAATCTCATTTAATGTTTAATTTTTTTTGTGTTATTTAATATATTAATATAAAAGTCTAAAAATTTACATCATAAATCAAATTTTCAGATTTATTTTAAATAGAGTATTTTTCGTTTTTTTTAAATGCAGATTTTTTTTATTTTTATAAAAAACATGATTTTTTGGAAAAAAAAACTGAAAAAAATATATTTTTTAAAAAAACTGCATTTTTTTTTTCAAAAAAACTGCATTTTTTTTAAAATTGCATTTTTTTTCCAAAAAAAAAACTACAATTTTTTTTTAAAAAACTGCATTTTTAAATAAAAAAACTGCAATTTTTTTAAAAAAAACTGCTAAGTATTTTAAAGAAAGTTTCATTTTTTTCAAAAAAATTGTATTTAAAAAAAAAAGTGTAATTTTTCAAAAAAAACTGCATTTTTTTTATAAAAAAGTTAAATTTTAGGTGCATATATATGCATATTTTTTCAAATGCATATATGTATATTTCTTATACTATATTCGTAAGTAAATCACAAAAAATCTCATTTTTATTAATTAATCTATAAACATAATAGTACAAATATTTTATTTGATACAAAATAAAATATAAAAAATAAAAAATGCTTCAAATTTCAAAGCGTTTTCATGTCTTCGTGTCAATATTTCCTTATTTTCTTCAATTTATCATTTTTCACCTCTTCAATATTCACCACAATTTCTTCCAAATCTACAAGAAAATTAAAAAATAATGATTGATGCAAAAACACTCACAAAAATACATATGTGATTTACATGTGAATCACATGTAATTCATATGTAAATTACATGTGATTTACATGTGAATCACATGTAATTCATATATGAATTACATGTAATTCATATAATTCATATGTGAATCATATGTAATTCATATGTGATTTACATGTGAATCACATGTAATTCAGATGTGAATCACATGTAATTCATATGTGATTTACATGTGAATCACATGTAATTCATATATGAATTACATGTGATTTACATGTGAATCACATGTAATTCATATGTGAATTACATGTGAATCACATGCAATTCATATGTAAATTACATGTGATTTACATGTGTATCACATGTGATTTACATGTGAATCACATGTAATTCATATGTGAATTACACGTGAATCACATGTAATTCATATGTGATTCATATGTAATTTACATGTGAATCACATGTAATTAATAAAATATTTTATCAATTCACACAAATCACATATTATTTGTAATTGATTATTGCCTATGGATGTTAGCATTACTTTTCAATATTTTATTTTCACCAGAAACTAGACTTGACAAATCTTGAAAAGATTATTAACATTAAAGTCAAATAAGTGAGCTTTACTTAATATAAGTAATGGTTCCTTTTTTAATCAACCATAAAAAGGTAGGTTGGTACCTTTCGATATGAATGAAGGAGACTTCTTTCCAACTTCTTGTCAATCTTTTTCACACTTAACCCATTACACATATATTTTTTATATTATTAACAAGTGCTTGATAGTTGGATAAAATAATTTTGAACACTTATCACATTGAGCCCACTGTTCTTGTTCTTGCTCCCTGATGTCACACCCCAAAACCGAAACGACGGAAACATTCGGGGGTGGAGGACGTCATGTACAGTATCACAATAATGCAACGTAGTAAACAAGCAACAACATCATCCATTGCATTAATAATATAATTTCATACAAGTGTGTTCTGTCAAGTTATATAGACACCAAAAATATGAATCAAAATAAAAGATGAGTCTTGAACGTGCTCCATCTTCTCAAAACCTGGCTCCGGTACCTGTCTACTGGTGACCTGAGAATACAAGTTATTTTGAAAGAGTTTATCAGCTTTAAAGCTGGTGAGATCATAAGTATATTAGTGTCTGTATTTGTATGAAAGTGTTTGTAAGTATGTAATTGTATAAGTTTGTAAAAGTTTGCAATTGTTTGAACTCTCCTAGAAAACCCTATGTTTCCTACTAAAAGTAGCCTTCTACCAAGGCATCTAGTATCTGTGTGTGTCTCTTGTAAGAGTGTGTATTTTCCAAATCTGACTATATTAACCAAAATATAGTTTTTTTACATTATTGTTTATTGTGTGAAAATCACAAAGTAAATGTAATGGGAAAACGATTTAGTACTGTAGTGTTGTATTAAGTAACTACTGCTGTACTAACTACCTTAAACCAATTGTTATTTAAAGTACCATGTGATCGGCCTGTATCCTGCTACCGACTCTATAGAAAAACGACGATGTAAGATGTCGTAAGAAATAACGTTTGGCACCCGTAGACCTGCAAGTCCCACTGTAGCGAGCAACAAGGTGTAGGATAGTCAATCCAGTATAGATCTATACACAAACTCATACGCTCCCCACTTAAGGAGATTCTGGATACAAAACGGTCATGGCAGGTAGTGCCATGCCCCGTTACGTGGCTCACATAACTGTAGTAATGTATATGTAATGTATGTGCTAGCTGTATTGTATGTTCTCTCTCTGTCTAGCCTGTATGTATGTTCTCTCTGTAATGTATTGCATGTTCTCTCTGTAATGTATTGTATGTTCTCTCTGTTCTAGTAATAGTATTAGTATCTCCCTAAACTATACCTATTATAGTTTACTAGTAATGCTGTTTGAATGTATGAACATGTTTGTATACCCTTGCTACCCAAAGGTATTGAACTGAATGAAAGAAGGAACCTTTGTATCTATATACATATACATAATATATAACTAGGGTTCAAACGACCTTCGGACAAATAACCTGAATACCCTAAGTCCACAACCAAACAAGGAACAAGAAGTAAGGGGAGCTATCAGTTCTAAGTCCTTTCAATCCTACTTATATAACTATATCCATACAGATACACTTTTAACAATATATAAGTTTAAAAGAGTTAAATAAGAGTATTTGACAAGTAAAAGAGTTTGTAAAACAGTTTGAAGTAAAACAGTTTGGTAACACAGTTTGAAAAGTAAGAAATCCATTTGTTTGATAGTTATTAATCACATGTGATTGATATAATAACTATAATTGTCCAACTTGTATTCCCCCCCCCCCCATAAAAGCATTTAAAAACATTTAAAAGGTTAATTAAGGGGGTATGAACTCACCTGTAGTGAGTGGTTTGGATGAACGGACTGTATAAGATGTTAAGTGTCAAGTGAAGACTTGTACACACACAATGATCCAAGTTAACATATAATAACACATATATGTATCCAATTAGTCATAAAAAAACTAATTAACCAAGTTTAAGACATCCTAAGACATGTAAAACAATTTATTTAAGTGCTAGAAGTCCTAAGGATTGCATCTAAGGGTGGTAGGACCTTGCATTTGAGGTTAGATTTCAAGGGTAAACTCCTTTGGAGTTTACGGTTTTGTGACCATCACCCCTTGAGTTTACGGTCGTAAACCCATGAGTTTACGGCCGTAAACTCATGGTACTTATACCATTTTGTGATTTGAAGCTCTACAAGTCATAAGAAACATTCCTACTTCATGTCTAAGCCTTTGGAAGAGATTAGGGCACCATTTCACTCCTTTGTGGAGTTTACGGTCCTTGGACCATTTCTCTTTGGGTTTACGGTCGTAAACCCAAATGGTTTATGGTCTTTTGTTGTTTTAAGTCCTATGCACATCAAGAAAGGGATCTAAACTAGCTTCCAAGGCTTGGTAAGGGACTAGGGCACACTTTGGCCCCTTTGTTAGGGTTTACGGTCCAAGAACATCTTGGACCGTAAACACCCTTGATCTTGTGTTTCTTTGGTGTTTTCTTGATGATTAGAAGTGTAACAAGTCTTATAATACACTAGGGTAGGAGTACTTACTAGGTAGAAGCTTGAAAATGTGCTAATAGTCCAAGAACACTAGTGTGTGTTCTTGGTGAAACTTGAAGATCTACACATTTGGAATGATTTCACGGATGGAATCATGTAAGATCACTAGATTAAGTAAGATATCAACTTTTTAGGGATAGAAACACTTACAAAGTTGGAGATCAAGAAGAAAAGTTGGATGATACTTGAGAGGATTTGTAACACCCAAAATCAGAAAGGCCAAGAAAGGAAAGGAAGCCCTAAGTCAAAGGGTAAACTCGT